TCCAAAGCAGGATGATACGAGTCCTCTGGCCGAACCAAAGGATCGCATCGGACAACARAGAACATTGAAGCGTTATCAACATAAACTAGATCTAAGAACATACCAAACTCGTTCGAAATTAAATTAATTTGGTAAAGACCCAACTCCGACATTTCATCTAAGAGCTCGTTAAAACATAAACATTAATAGGAGTGGTGTAATCATCAATGGATTTCTATGATGTGCAMGGTAAATTGAAATCACCCAAAACAATCATGAAAGCAGTATTATTAGCCATTGCGAAAGCATTATTTACTAATGAAGCATGCTGCATATATACAGATACATATGTCCGGGTGGGGCGGTTTACGGATATAAGATAAAGTTAAGTAGATATGGCCACTATTAGCGCAAAAACGAATGCACTTAAATTCTATGCAGTCTRCATGCGAACATCGACTTCTTCAGATGGAATTGAAGAATGAACAGCAAACAAGGCACCACCTCCTTTTCTGTTCAGCCGGTCATATCTAAAGATTTCGAWTTCGCTGTTRAATATTTCATTATCAAAAATGTGAGGCTTTAGCCAAGATTCTGAGAAAGCAATGATTTTAAAATTACAATACCTGAAGCTTTTGTCATGCGTGAAGTTATCTTCTTGTTACCGTTTAACTCTTGACAGGTTTTTGTGTCGGTTTATAACTGAATAGGATTACATATACCGTACATGGCTATTATAGTAGTTAAAACTAATCGATATGTCAACGTTTAGATAACAAGTTTCCTATATGCACATATAGTGATTAATGTAGCTGATTAACACCTTAACCTGGGTATTTATAAYTCATGATTGATATATTCAAATACAAGAAAACGGTGATTTTTACATCTGTGTAATTGCATAACACTGATCACTGGGACCACAATTTAGTGCCACTTCAACGAACCTACATATTGTTTCCAACCAGTTGAGAACTTAAGGCAACAAAGATCGACGGTCCACTAATGTTGCAAAAGAACACAAGCCTTGTCAGAGACTTCCTAAAAAATCAAAAAGTGCAGTTCAAAGTTTGAGTGGACTTATAATGCAATAACATTAATTTTTTAACACACAAAACTGGTTTAAGAATTTGTCTGACTCTATTCGCAATTGATAATGTTGCTAAGCCTGTCAGTCCTTCTACACACATTGCCGTCAATAAATTTCGAACGATATAACTATATTTTATTCGTCTGAACAAATATAATTTCAGAGAACAATGGGGAACTTTTCCGTTGCATCTACTTAGATCCGTCAACCCAACGTGAGTTAATGACATTTCTAATTCTTTACAATGTTCAAGAATGACCGTCTACTATGTAAAACTTGAAGCTGATCAATATTAAATAAAATTCTGGAAGTTTTAATAACTTTCTTCAACGAATCGTATATTTCGTAGACTCAAGACAATGCAGTATTAATAATGGCAAGAGTAAAGTATYAATTGGTTTTAAAATTTTGCTTATCATCGCGAATCGGATCATTTTCCTTATCATAATTGAATTGTCTTTTCTATTTTTTCTAACGAGTGTTGCTGTCGTCTCTGATTTGAWTGTCCATACCATTGTATGTATATGTAACCCACAAGTAACCAAATCTAAACAATCTTCACTAATACAAATGCAAATTAACCGCAAAAAATGGGTATCCGGTACGAGTTGTCTAATACTAAAACGTTTAAATGCCTCAAATCGACTATAGTGTGTTATCGTGTTATGTTTCAAACAAGTTTCAACTATTGAAAATTAAATTTACATAGTGTTGTGTGCTGGATTTGGAATCCGCTAMGTATTAAACTCTACCAATGAAAAGAAAACAACATCCTCGGATAAGTGACCTCTCTTTTGMTTTTAAGGCTGCTTTTGACAGCTGCAGCTATGCCGCTATGTATGAATTTAGTATCACCGTAAAATAATACGGCTGTGAAACTGACGTTGAGCAATTAAAAAAAGCTCCGGCAGGATCCGGAAGAACCTCTTCGAGCCGTTCGATACAAAATGAGGTTTAAGACAACGCGACTACCTATTGTACGACTTCTTCAATTTTCTGTTGGAGAAAATAATTCGAGCTGCAGAACTTATTCGAGCAGATACAATGCTCTACAAGAGTGAACAGCTGCTGGCGTATGCCGATGATATTGATATCATTGGCCCCAACGACCGCGTTGTTAAATATKCTTTCTGTAGAATGRATAAGGAAGCAAAGCAAATGGGTATTGTAGTGATCGAGGGTAAGACAAAGTATAAGTAATGACACGTACAGAATTTTGGTGATATCGGTCGAGCAGGTCTCGACATAAAGAATTTCACCCAAAATGGGGTGGTGCCTCGCCATCTTGTTAGTAGTTTTTAACAGTGCCGTTATATGGGGAGTAAGCGGGATTATGATCTCATCATTCATTTTCACACTGTCAGTAGGGGTTCTTTTAGGATTTATCTCGAGCGAATTTGGTTATTGCGACTTAAGCGACTTCAGAGATTTGTATATTAAGCCCATTAGATGGAGTGGTCACTCCCATTTTTTACGAAATTTTTAGTCAACAGTTATCCCTTAGTTACTGCAATCCTCTGTGATAAATTTTATTTAATTTTTTTTAATTTAGTGTTTAGTTCTAAAGCCCTAAAATTCGTGCCCCCTTTCCTGTAAGGATGGGCCAGCCCTGTAGACCATCAACGTGAATTCCAAAAACAAAAGAACTTGAAGAYCGTACTTCTAATAATGCTAATTCGATAAAGCAGATCGAAAACAAATCCATAAGAGAATGAAATATGGAAACTTTTAAAACACAATTATAAAATTACTTAAAATCTATTTTTGGTAGTCTCTCTTAAGCAACAACTAAGCATTATCTAAATAATATTTGCACATCGAAAGTGTATTTACAAGGGTTAAACAAAGCCAGGTACAAAATGTCACTTCAACTTTTCACGTGCTGAATGCCAACGTTTTCAATAACGTTTTTATGAATTATTGCTTTTCTTTGTGCACGTCAATAACCACTTAATTACCTTAATTCAACCTCGGTGTTATGCAACTATCTATATGGAACAAAACGGTTCATTTATGTAAATRTGGGCAAATATATTAATATGTTTGTGAGAATTAAATTCTCTATTAATTTTTTGCTTTGAGTAAAATTAATATTGAATCAACTGACTGTGATTTATCTGAATTGTTGRCAAACATATACATAGGTGATAATGCCTCAATCATACATTATACTTGTATGTTTTTTTTTTTTTGCTACAACACCTCGTCACCGGGAACTTGCTAGCTCCCTGCGGAGTCATACTCGTGCCACCCATGTGCGCGATCGCTTTTTGCACCTACAGCTACCGACTATGTAATCGATAATTGAATTCTTTCAATAATTTATTGCCTTGATTAGCATCAAATGCGACTCAGATGATKAGGCGACAATTAGCGCCAAGGCAAGGTTTTAGCCRGACTCCGGCGATATAAAAGTTTCACAAAAGCAAGTTAAATGTTTATTTAGAATTAGTCGAAGTTGAGCTAAGTCTTTGAAAAGCGGTGCGATTTATTTATAGTATTGTTGTTTTTGTAAGGATGCGTTCTTCTAAACTTTGTGAAATCGTGCTAGAAGCCACCTGCGCTGTTATTTTGATATCCTGTAGTGCAGCGAAGCTTCGTAAGTTTCAATAATTTCGAGTGATTATGTTTYAAAAGGATTTGGAAACAACAAGTATGAAAATGGGAGAAATATTCTAAAATATGGGAATGTGAATTGGCTGAAAGAGTGGTAATTGCAAGCARTGTGAGCCGTGTGCAAAAAAATATATATTATATATAATGTCTTTACCAATAAAGTGTTTGTTGGGTTAATTGGAAAAAAACGGGTATCCGGTACGAGTTGTCTAATACTAAAACGTTTAAATGCCTCAAATTGACTATAGTGTGTTATTCGGCTAAAAGACTTTAAAAAGTGCTATTAAAGTTGCCTAACTGACGATATGTCTACCGTAACAGCTTCGTTTGGTTTCCCAAGTGCACAACAATTGCTGCCCTAAGTTCTGCTACACGTTTAGCCCGGAAAAAAATTWAATTAAAATACATTTTTTTTTAGATTATCTCGAATAAGTGTCAACATTGTTCTGGTCGATTTATCCATTTTCATTAACATAATTCTCTGTTTTGTGAGGGGATTCTGCGAATGCGTTGGCGAACAGTTTTCATGACTTGAAATTGGTTCAATTCGCGCACTTTTCTTTCTGTCATCAACTGTAGACGTTTAAAAAAGAGTTCTATAGTGCGGTAAACAAGCCTTCTCCAAATGCTAAGTTTTTAAGAAGTTCATAAACTTCACTTGCGCTCTTTCCACACTTATAGTATATAAGGGAATTGCTGATTTTCGATTTCCTCACTCCATTGTTAATAAGCGAAAGTAAGCACTCGTCTGATTATTATATAAATATATAGAATAGACTGTGCATATAAATAATAAAAAATGACGGCACTTTTATTTTTACTTCAAGCGGACATTTTCTTGTTGTCGTACGCAAGCATGGCTCTTTTAAACACGTAGAGTGATATCAGTTTTTATCTCGGCAAAAACTGTAGTGTACTCAAAAAATTTATTTAAAGACATTTTTTATGTTTTTATATACGTAATTATATATAAAAGATTTTTTCATTCATCGTTCGTTAGCTTCAAAAGTAGGAAGCAGAGAACTGGCGAGACAAAGGTGGAACTTCTCCGTTACGATAAATATTATTATGTCATAGCAATATGTTATTATTATCTAAGATATAATAAAGCCAATAATAACTCTTTTTGAAAATTTTTAAATTGGAAAAGTCAAATGTCTGTTTGTCAATGGAGTCTGTATGAAATGTAGTCAAACGTTGAGCCAATTTTACATTGTGAAACACATATTCATTAAATTTGTAAAWTAACTTAAACAAATTGACATATTTGCTTTCAATTTAAAATGATAACATGAATAATTTTCCTCCATCCGTTTTTACTCCGCATTCGGTTTGCCCAGTAAGCAATCCATCTGTTCCTGTAGCCCTGCAAATGTATAATATTTTATTATATTATACAAAAGGGGTGCAAGAATTGCAGATTTTTCCACCTAATACAACGGCTCAACAACAAACACACGCAGAAAAATATTTGCAAGGGCTGTAAAATTTGTCAGACCAGAATCCATGTTTATTTGTAAAAATATAATTGCAACCCCATTTTAGCTGTCATTTTACTCAGATATATATTTTGACGTTAAATTGTTGATGTAGGTAAATTTTAAATATATATAAATTCACAATAGCCATGCACAACATTAATTTACAATAAATTGACCGAATCAGCCGTTTATACATATATCACTAGATTCTGCAATATAGAATTTCTGCAATGTTGTAAGAGCAAGAGAATCCTCCTAATATATAATTGAGTATATGTATCGTATAATAGAAATCTTTATATATAAAAATCACGTGTCACGCTGTTTGTCCGCGATGGACTCCTAAGCTACTGAACCGATTTTAGTAAAATTTAGCACACTGTATGCAGTTCAAGCCAACTTAGAAGATAGGATGGTGAAAAACAATCATAAATAAAAAACTCGACAGAAAGACTGGTAACCAGACATTGAGAAAGCAGGTTTAAATTCGTTATTTTTTCCAATACAATTTATTTGTATGAACATATTCAAAATTAAATCTCAACTATCATCCTTTGGATTCCTATACCGACAAAAACGGTTTCGCTACTGACAAAAACGGTTATTTGTAAATAAAATTTTCACTGTATTGAATAGTTTTGACATGAATAATAGTATTATATAAAATGTATACCACAGCAACGCGGATCCAATAGTGTGATATAAAAACAATTTAATTCAGGAGGCAAATAGTAACGACTAAATTTATTGAACTTTGCATACATTCAGGCGACATTCAAAAGTACATATTTATCCGCAATTAAATAATATAAATATCTGTTCACAATAACTGGGAAATTAATTTTAATATTTGAAAATTTCTCTACAYAAATGTGACAAAGTTTTTAGTTATAAAAATCAGAGTTTTAATATCATTTTAATATCCAAAATCGACCACATTTTACATATAACCACAGATGTGGCACAAACAGTATTCTTGAGATGTAGTTGATTCTCAAATCTGATTCAAAGATGGACGAATCAGTACTTTTCGATACACAGTATWAATACCATAAATACAGAAGCAGTGAGCATGGCCAATATATTCTAAAAGCCCCATACATATTTGTATACATATATATAATAGTATTCGTTATTTCCTTATTTCCCAATTTGATTTTTTTTTGCAAGCGCCATCTAAAGTCTCAGTTCTCTTCAGTTCAAGAACTTTACTCAAACCGTGCATGAACGATTTTACCTTTCTCATGTATTTAACATCGAATTTTTTCCCCTTTTAAGGCATTGGTTTTATAGAAAAGATCATTAAGATCTTTTTTGAAGAGCAAAAAATTTTTTTAGGAATATAATCTTTTTCAAAGTAGTAGGTCCCATGTTAAATAATTTAAAAAATTAAAWATGTTTTAGGAACGGCTTAAATTGTACGTAAAAAGTTTATTTACGTAGGATCTTTGCTTCTTCGGCAAAAATTGAAACTTTCGTGAATGTTTGCGAAAAAAATCAACTTCGGAAACAACGGACACCCTACTATACAAATATGGTCATTGCATCTAAAATCGTTTTCATTCAAAAAAATGTTTATCATACAAAACATATTCTCTTTATGTACGGGTTTTTTATTTCGACTCAATATGAACAATTTCCGAAGTATGAATTTTCAAAATGTCAACTTATGAACAGGCAGGCCAAATGTTAACGAATTTTTCTTAGCTTTACGATGATATGTACGTTTTTTTTTAAACAAAATTTATATTTTTATAAAGAATTATTTGTTTTTCAAATTTGGAACTAATCTCATTCAGTGTTCTTCTTCTTTTCTTCGTATATAGTCTAATCATTTAAGCTTAAATTAGGTAAGAATCTCAGAATTCGAGATACCCAGCTGTAGGTCCGTAAATATTGAATATTGACACCCTAAGAGTTGTCTCAAAACCTACATATGGTCGATACACCCGAAGTGAACTTACTATAATGACTGGACTAATAAGCAAACAATTAGAAGTTCTTTTTCCAAAAGCTAAAATTTTTAAGATTCGTAAATCGAAAATTTTTCATATTAGCCAAACTAAAAAATTCGTGCAAAAAGAATTAGCTTGTACTAAACAAAAAATTTTTAGTGTAAGTTTTCAATATGAGTAAGCTTGATTATTCGGATATTAAGTAAGATGCCTTGATGAAACTAAGTATACCTAACAACATAGCATAAGCTAATCTTATAACCGTTTAAGTTTTTATATACAAAATATTTAATGATAAAGCTTATTAATTTGCACCAAAAGCAAAAATATATAGGTAATTTTCGGTTCTTCTCCTTACGCGGTTATAGCCGAGTTTACAACAGCGCGCCGGTCGTTTCTTCTTTTTGTGCAGTGCAGCCAGGTCCTTCTCCACCTGATCTCCCACAACGGAGTAGAGGTCTTTCTCTTCCTCTGCTTCCCTTGGCGGGTACAGCGGCCATAAGGACGACWTGACCTAACCGGCGTAGCCGGTATTTTTTCACTGAACTATGCCAATGTCGTCATATAWCTCGTTCAGCTCATCGMTCCATCAAATSCGCAGAACCTTTCTMTCGAAAACTCGCAACGTCGMCTCATCAGATGTTGTCATCGTCCATGCCGTTGAGGCTAACAATGTTAATACTGATTCTCAGATAAACGAAATTATCTATGACTTCAAAGTTATGAATTAAAATTACGAAAACAGAACTAACAGCGCGGTTGTTGAGGCCAATGATATCAATATCATCGGCATACCCCAGTAGCGGCATACTCTTATAAAAGATTGAAGATCATGTTCGATTGCTCTCTAATKAAGGACTTGTTTACTTCCTGCTCGAGAAACAGAAAAGTTAAAAAAAAGTTCATAATATTATATAATTTTTCTGGACCGGACTGAATAGATTAAAGTAAAATTCAATACTTTTATGAATAGTAAGCAATTTGTATATTCCTTTTTCACATTTATTTCTTCTAAATAACATCTAAGCTAACCCTTTAAGCAAATAAAATTTTTCTTAATCCATTTGCGCGAATTAGCTTATTWAGAATTTAATATGATTTGTTGCAAGTTATTAATTGGATCATTAAAATCACACTGATAATAGATAGTGGGTTTTATAAACACGCATACACAAAAGTACATGTTAGGGTGATCGGAATGACTTTCGTCTCCCCACTCCATGTACGAGGAAAGCAGGAAATTTAAAAAAATTTTGCAGATAAAAATAATATTTACAAAATATTTTGTTGCCATTTGCCAATACAATCTTTCATATTCATAGTTCATCTCGTAATTTGGATAAATATTGGAATTTTGCTTTCTAATAAAATCTGCAACAAAACTACCATACAATCTTCTGCTAGTCAGAAAAAAACATCTTTGGGAGTAAACACTTTTAAGTTAGGCTAAGTTTTTTTACAACGATTTTCYATTCSAAAATAGTTTACGTAGTTTAAGCAYTMTATTTGGTWGTATTCATTASATRTTCAAATTGRAGAACTCTACATAAACTTAAAAATCACTTTAAAAAATTATTAGTTTTAAACAAAATAGCTGCTAATTTAAAATCAAAAAGCTAACCTTCGCTTCTTAAAAATCTATTGTATGTGACTTTAAAACCTGACCGATTACCTTATTAAATACCTATAGAGGAATATATTGTATAAATACTTTAGAATAAAKAGTAATTAAAAGTAATCATAGTTAATAGACCAACACGTTTATGACATGATAATTKACCCTTGGATTCCTCTTTCTCACACCCGCTTTTATGTATTCAATGCAATGTGTGAAAATAATGTTTGCATTTGACGAAGTAGTCCATTATGACGCATAACAATCTTTGTTGTAATTGTGTCTCAAAACAAATATACAAGTTTTGTAGAAAAGTATGGGAGACATAGTGTTTTATGAGAGCATAAAAAGATTTTTTCTTCAACGTAGTAGTAATCAAAGATGGTACAAGCAATTCTAACTTTGACCTCCATATATGAAGCTTAGCTAAAAAACGSGGTTACATGGGTTTCCTCGGGTAAAAAAACGTATTTTTTCAACAATTTTTTCTGATTAATATTTTATTAAAATTTTTTATTATTACAAACATACACTATTTCCACAAAATAATATGAAAGTTTTGGAAAAAAATATTTTAAACTCGGCCATTGCACCATTTACGGTGACCCTCGGAAAAAAATGCGCCCCTGTTTTAGTTAAAACCTTGACTTATAACTTGGACGAAGGAAAAAAACTGAAAATTGCATTTTTGGTAGATAGTTTTACAAAATATTAAAATTTCAGTGAAAATTTCGGGAAACTTTTTTCCCAAATAGTTGTAATCGAAAAAAAATCTTCGTCCAAGTCTTTAAGAATTGTATCTCAAAAACACACTCTCGAGGAAAGCCCGTTTAAAGGCGGCGCACTTAGTCTAGCTAGCCTCGAGCTTCTCAAGGCTGTATCTCCGAAACTATTGCTCGGATCAACTTGAAAATTTAGGAAAATATTCTAGACGTATTGTAGAATTTAATAAGACAATAAAAACTTATAAGCCCACGTAATCGCTATATTCTTCACCGATATAATATTCTTCACAGATACAAAAGCTCCCTTACAAGAACTTGATTTCGATCGGYCAGTTTGTATGGTAGCTATATGCTATGGTGATCCCATCGGAACAATATCTTCGGAGATTATCCTATTTCTTTAGATAATAACYCTAAAAAAATTTCATAAAGATATTTCATCAAATGAAGCACCATACAAGCACTTGATTCTGATCATTCAGTTTGTATGGCAGCTATATGCTATTGTGGTCTGATATCGGCGGTTTCAACAATTGAGCAGCTTCTTTTGCAGAAAAAGACGTGGCAAAATTTCCGATCGATATCTAAATAACTGAGGGACTAGTTCGCGTATATACAGACGAACTGTTGTGTAAAATGTAATCCAAAAGTTTAAAATAATACTAGGCTACTATATATATTTCTGGCCTAATAATGAAAATAGGAATATTTATCAACGAAAATAGTTTTATTGTTTCTCAAAATATTCTCAATGAAGATTTATACACTTTTGCATGCGCTCAAACCAATTTTCGAAGCACTTTTTCCACTCCGATTGAGACACCTCCAAAACATGGTTTTTGAATTCTTCAACAGCATCKTCTGGCGACGAAAATCGTTGACCACGCATTATTTTCTTGATGTGTGGGAATAAAAAGAAGTCATTGGGTGCCAAGTCAGGGCTGTACGGCGGATGACCCATCAATTCGACGCTTTGGCCGGTCAAAAAGGCGCTAGTTTGAGCCGATGTGTGAGAGCTCGCATTGTCATGGTGCACAATGATTCGTCTTCTCTTGTTCGTTTTTCGAATTTCTCCGAAGACTTCAGGCAAACAAAYAGTGGTGTACCACTCAGAATTGACCGTCCTACATTGCTCAAGCGGAACAGTCGCCACATGACCAGTTTTGCCGAAGAAACAGGCGACCATTTGCTTCGAAGTGYTCTTCCACGAACAACTTTCGTTGGATTTGGCTCGTCTTGGAAGATCTGTGACAATCTTATAAACGTCTTTTGAAGCACCGCGATCGTATTTTTTCAGCATTTCTTTACACCAATCCACACGAGCATTTTTGAGCGATTGTCAAATTGTGCGTTATCCAACGAGAACAAACCTTTTTTACGGCCAGGTGTTCATGCAATATCGAATGTATGCTGGTGRGAGAAATGCATAGGCATGCCTCTATCTGAAGGTATGTTACATGATACTCTTGTATTATCAGTTCACRTACGGCATCGATATTTTCTGGCACAACGGCTGTTTTTGGACGACCTTCATTGAATTCGTTGTACCAGTTTTTCACAGTGCTATAGGATGGTGCTTCATAGCCATACAAAGATTTTAGTTCATCGATGCACTCTTGTCGTGATAATCCACGTCSAAAGTTGTGAAAACTGATCGCACGAAAATGTTCACGAGTTAATTCCATTTTTTGGCCGAGATGAATTYTTTAAWTCCCTGTAAATAAAACAATTCACGATTAAATGACAAAACGTTCTGAGTGATGTTATGCTAAAAAACGTCATACTTTCCAATGGAAATGTCAGATTGCACCTGGCAATACTTAGTGTTGCCTAGGCCAGAAATATATATAGCAGCCCGTATATACTTGCTAACAATTTTTTARTCAGTAATTTGATTGAATATAAAACTAACATAGTTTATAAAAGRTTAAAGCTGAAAATATTTCGAAAAGGTTGCCAACAATACATAATTTATGTATAATTTAATTTTTTTGTTTCAATAATGTTTAAATCGCGATCATTTGCAGCCGATGACATCAAACCATGTGTTGCAGGGGATGATAAATGTATTATTGAGAATATAAACACTGTACTCGCTAAAAAATATGAAGGCGATGAAAGTTTCGGCTTATCTAAGCTAGAACCTTTCAAAATGGATGATATTATCATCAGTCAAGATTCGACGAGACCTTTAGCAATTCATCTCGCGCTGCGTAACCCCCTCGGGTATGGCGTCAAGGACTTGACAGCAAGAAAAGTGAAGTGAGTATGAAATAATATTGCACTAAATAACAATAAGAATTGCCATAAGCACTGCTGTTCCGCAGGGGTTTCGGCAAAAATCCAGACGGCCGTCACGAAATTATAATAGCGGCACCTGCCCTAACACTGTTATCCGATTACAAAATTGATGGTAAAGTTCTAATACTGCCCATACAAGGCGAGGGCAAAAGCAATATCACATTGGGTGAGTGCCCCTACACACTACTTCTAACCGTATATATTTAAATTATATTATGTTTAGTGCAACCTGTGATACGAATCCGCATAGATGCAACATCACGCAATGAGAATGGCAACACATTTATGGATATTAAGGAATTTCGCATTGAATGCAAAGTTAAACGCATGATAATGCAATTCGATAACCTTTTTAACGGTGACAAAGCCCTGGGTGACAACATCAATAGTTTTTTGAACGAAAATTGGCAGGAGATTTATGCTGAGCTGAAAGTACCCTTTTATGATGCGATCGCCAATGCAATGAATGTGGCTGCAAAGCAAGTCTTCAAAACGATTCCTTATAATGAAATATTTCAAATATAAAATACTAGTACGCTGAGTCAAGTTGTTTTGCATTAGATATGTATACTATATGTTTCTGTGTAATTTGTTTTTGTTTGTAAATTATGAWGAGCCAATCAATAATATTGACAGTTGAGCAATTATATATGTTGCATATTTTTCACTACCATTAGAATCTTAATCACGTACATACTATGTTTACATGATTCTATAATTGCCTAGTATATTGCCTTTATTTATGTAAATATGTAAGTGAAATACGAAGTCTCTGGGAAAATCGTTCATCAATACAACAGAGATATATCTTATACAGATAATAACACCTGATTTGGGCCGCCTATACTTAAACACGCGAACCGAACAATACAACTGAATCAAATCCAAGTAAGGAAGGGCTAAGTTCGGGTGTCACCGAACATTTTATACTCCCGAAAGACAGACATCCGGATTTCAACTCTACTCGTCACCCTGATCACTTTGGTATATGTAACCATATATATGAAGATATATATACCGTTATTAACAACTTTATTGCGAGAGTATAAAAATGACGCCCTCTGAATTACATGAAAATATCTGAGAGATTTACCGATATTTTCGGTGAAAAATTAGGTTAGGTTAGGTTAGGCACTGAGTTCTTCGTGTCCGATATCAGCTACCTTAAAAAGTTATACTCCGATCCCGACAATTTTTCCACAAGGGATACCTCAGCTCAAATACCGCATTTGTGTAAAGTTTTATTCCGCTATCATCATTGGTTCCTAATGTATATATTATACAGAGAAGGCATCATAGGGAATTCAAAGTAGCGTTATATTGGAAGAAGGCGTGGTTGTCAACCTATTTCACCCATATTTCGTACATGTCATCAGATTCAGATCAGAGTAGTTCCTGAGATATGGTTTTTGGTCCATAAGTGCGCGACGCCACGCCCATTTTCAACTTTTAAAAAATGCCTGTGTGCAGCTCCTTCTGCCATTTCTTCCGTAAAATGTAGTCTTTCTGACGTTTTCGTTAGTCGGTTAACGCACTTTTAGTGATTTTCAACATAACCTTTGTATGGGTTATTATCCGATTTCTTCCATTTTTGAACTGTATATGGAAATGCCTGAAGGAAGCGATTCTATAGAGTGTGGTTGGCATAGCTATAGTAGTTTCTGAGATATGTACAAAAAACTTAGTAGAGGCGGGACCACGACCACTTTTCCCAAAAAATTACGTCCAAATATGCCCCTCCCTAATGCGATCCTTTGTGTCAAATCTTTATCTCTCTCCTCAGCAACTTTGTTGCGAGAGTATAAAAAAGTTTTTTTACGAGGTCTCTCCCATTGAATTCTGCCTAGTCACTTTATTGTTATTTTCATAGGGAAATTTATTTCTTTTGTAAAAAGCAAAGCTTAACCATTGCGAGCATAGGTTAACAAATGAATATTTATTTTTGGAAAGAGTGTTAATGCAAATATTATAGGTTCTGAGTAAGACTTCTAATTCCGAACGGAATAATACGTATACCACCAAAAGTGTATGTAAATACCCAATAACGCGACATAAATTGAATTATAATGGCGCTCTTGTTGTATAGTATAGTTATTGCTCGATTGCGGTTCATTTATCCTGACATCGGATGATCTCTCAAAAAGAAGAGAAAACAACAGTTTCGCCCCTTATTTTCTTGGAAAGCGTTAGCAAGAAAAATTAATTGTTCGTGGCATCATAGGCAGGATTTACAATTGAGTTTTGACAATTCATTTCATTGTTTATATCATTATTAATGGTTACTATAGCCTTGAACATTATACATTATAAAATAGGCACACGTGAAAAAATGACACAGTGAAAAAAACAATTCCTATAACCGGACATGAACACTATTTTGGTAACATTTCATTCAAATAATATCTGACAAACGGGATATCAGAATATTAGTACAAATTGTCGTTGTGGTTTACGTGAGTACCTGCCTACGAAGGCCTAACCTCACAGTGCTTTCTATTGCTAGAAGCACGTAGATCAATACAATGCGTTGATCAGCGCCCCTAGCATAAATGCATTTTGCATTTAATCCTTGGTTCCAATTGGTTCGGGTATATAGAGATACCCTAGTCACCTTGGTCGGGTTCGAGGTTCATCTGAAACCTCTGAAGTACTTTGGGTCCGGCACCCGGCCGCAGTGCGACTCCACATTGGACAAAACGCCCTTCCTGCATTTAGGTGTAAACCACAGCCACCACGAATCTCCCCAAAGGGCCAAACCCAATGAGCAGATTGGAGTTACTTCAAAGGGCTAACTGCTCCCGTGGTCTGACTTTGTAGTATTTGCTACTACCAGTTGAATCCCCATATAAACTCAATTATTGGTTGCATTTGTAGCTGTGACAAATGCTTTATATTTTGTGATACAAATATAAAGCTTAGAATTTGACTTCCAGCTGAATATTATAGCACTTATCTGACTTAGACCATGTTGACATCAAAACATGGTCTCTAAAGCCTGACATAGTGCATATGGCTTTTAGTCGCCTCTTACGACAGGTATGCCTGCCGCGGGTATATTCGGTTTCCCCTCGATCCCGGAGTGGTCCCCCCTACCCGTAGGGGGAAATATTAGTATAATTTAAAGTTCCCGCTTTTTTAAATTCTTATTAATTTTTGGTCTTTTGAACAAATATTTGAGATTTTTCGGATTTGAAGCTTAGCCGACAAAAAGTTTCGGAGATATGAGCATATTTATATGAAATTGGGTCGCCAGTGCTCAAAMTTCGTCCGCTAGAAAATACAATTTATTAACGCCTTCTCCTTTCCATAAATGTCAACGAGAACACAGTATAGGTCCGCATACGATTGTGTGGAACGCGCAAAGGAGAAATAACATCGACCAATGAAAACGCGGCACCGCGCCTATAGTTGTTGTTAAATATACGCCAACGTTTTGCACTTCCGCACGTCTTCTCCTTTCCAACGCTATAAAGTTTGTCCATATACATAAGTCAACAGAGACACGGTCAAAAAAGGAACACAAACTTTTTTGTTGGACTAATTATATATAGAAGAATTTTTTGGATTCCAAAACTTTAAACGCGTTTTTCTCGAAGCGATATTTTCAGATTCGGTGAGCAGAATTTCACCGAATCGGCTGGACAGCTCGGCTTTTTAGATATACATATATTAGATACATCGAAGGAATAAGATTTTGCAAAGTATCACTTTGTCACAAAAATGATTTTTTGGAAGCCGTCATTTTCTCAAAAATCAAAATTTTTACTGGTGCCTCGAGCCTTTTCTGTATTCATCTATAATAACAATCGGTTTTCTAAGTTTTTGATTTTCGGATTATTTTAAATAGAAAAATCTTTTTCGCCGCTAGACATCTTTTTTCGTGGGTACTACTGGAGATAGGCTATTAGAACAWGATATTCTTTTTTTTTATTAATCCCCGATTATTAAACTACCTGAACTTCTGTTAATGTAATTTTTTTATTTATATAAAAATTACCATGCCTCTTAAAAAAATATAAATATATATTATATCACAAAAAATATCGTTTTTTCTGACTTGCAAATGGGTGTAGAGCTTCTTTGGTGATAGTGTTCAAGCGGAAGTGAGTTGAAGCGATTTAAGTTCCTAAAACTACCAAAACCAAAAACTTTTGTATTGTTGTAAAATCGACACACTACTAAAAACCTTAATTTCTCGTACGCGACCTAAGTCCGAGACGCAATTTTTAAAGGGAAGTATATTTAGAGTGTCGACTTTGGTAAAGCCATTAATTGTCTTGAAATGAAACGTGGATCAATAGTTTCCACATTTTCTTAGTTTATTAAAACAGATTTAACTCGAAGCAATTGCATAAATTACTTTTATAATGATAATTTTCATATCTTTAAATATGGTCCATTAAGTAGTACTAGGTATTTTTTAGAAGTTGTATGGATTTCAAATAAAACAAGGACCAAAATTCCCAATTCCGCGAGTTTATTTTATTCCCAGTGTTGGAATGAAATTTCGGGCATATAAGCCTTCGACTGTATCTCATAGAAACCATTCGATCGGTTCAATTACACACCAAATTTACACGCGTGACCATATCTTGCCAATAACATACCAAACATTAATTTTCCATTGGTCAGTCAGAGTTGCTTCATCATAGATGATTTAACATTATAACAGAGAGGAACAAATTAACACGTCGATTTCTTGAGATGATTCTATCACCAAAAGTTATGTTCAATAAAGTGGTCCTGTATAAGACTTATTGCACACTTTTGCTAAAAGCATTTACCACTTAGACGCTTGATAATCTAGAATAATATGTTTTAAAAAATATCCCCCAATATTGGCAAGAAAAACATACCACCGAGTAATATTTTCTGAATGCAAGCCCTGGATAACGCAGGACTTTTCGCACTCCTAATTATTTCATTTAATGTAGGTGTGATAACTATCCCTCTACGAAACTCTTCACATATAAAAAAAAGCACCCTATATATTGTGATATAACGGCACATTCTATTTACAACTATTTGTTTGAATATGTATGTATATAGTGACATTGATACACGTGTGTGTACGAGTTACAAAACTGGTAGTTAAAAAACGCCTTTCTGGAAGTAAATAAGTTGTAAACTGATCGTAAGAAATAAAATATATTGAGTGAATAAGTAAATGTTTCGAAGTACGCTAAAAAGTAAATGGCACTCATTATTGCCTATTAATTATATAACTACATATGTGTACATACATACATATACATATAATGCAAAATATAATTGCTTCTCTCATATAAAAACTCAGCGAGATTTCATCGAATCTCCTAGTTTGATTTAAAACATTTTCACATCAATATCGGAACGAAAGTAGCGGAGAACTTACAACTTTTCAGAACTAAAAAAAGAAAGGATTAAATAGTTGTCAACAATTACAAATTTGAAAAAGAGAACACCACTAGTTAAGAAAAATGTATATCCGAATTGGATTTTTTGCAGCGCTTGTTTGCTGCTTTTTGCAATTTAATAATGCGGAATTTCGTAAGTGTTCAATGAAAAATATTGAAAGAAAATTAAATTTAACAAAATGAGAATTGTAAAAAGTTAAAAATAACAGTTGATTCTAAAGGAAAATGGAGTTACAATTATTTTTTTTTTTTACGTGTTTGAAGCCCACTATTAAGGGTCGCTACTTCAACATAGATAGTGTATAATCTGTGCAACTAATTACAAAAGGATAAAAAGACAGAAGCTTCCATATCTTTGTTGAAATTACGAAAGTTGTTGGAAAATGTTGGCCTTTTACTACGGAAATAAAAAGAAGCCTTTCGATGCCAAATCAGGACTATACGGAGGATCAAATCGAGGCTTTAAGTGCTAAAAAATACAGTTAACTCAGGCGATGTATGAGAACTCGCATTGTCGTGGTAAAGAGAGATTCGTCTTCGGTGCTTGGTTTTCCCGATTTCTTGAAAGACAACTGGCAAGCAAATGATTGTGTACTACTCAGAATTCACTGTTTCGTATTGTTCTAGTTTTATAGTTGCAACATCTTTAGTTTTTTTCTAAAAAAAATACAGCCAATCATTTGCTTGGAAGTGTTTTCTGCGCGAATAACTCTTATTGGATTCAGGTTATCTTGAAACACCCCACAGTACTTCTTCTTCTTAATTGGCGTAGACACCGCTTACGCGATTATAGCCGAGTTAACAACCGCGCGCCAGTCGTTTCTTCTTTTCGCTACGTGGCGATAATTAGATATTCCAAGTGAAGCCAGGTCCTTCTCCACTTAGTCCTTCCAACGGAGTGGAGGTCTTCCTCTTCCTCTGCTTCCTCCGGCGGGTACTGCGTCGAATACTTTCAAAGCTGGAGAGTTCTGGTTCATTCCCATGACACATTCCCTGGGCAGCGTAGCCGCTGTCTTTTAATTCGCTGAACTATGTCACTGTCGTCGTATATCTCGTACAGCTCATCGTTCCATCGGATGCGATATTCGCCGTGGCCAACGCGCAAAGGCCATAAATCTTTCGCAGAACTTTTCTCTCGAAAGCTCGCAACGTCGAGTCATCCATTGTTGACATCGTCCAAGCCTCTGCACCATATAGCAGGACGGGAATTATGAGTGACTTATAGAGTTTGGTTTTTGTTTGTCGAGAGAGGACTTTGNCGTCCAAGCCTCTGCACCATATAGCAGGACGGGAATTATGAGTGACTTATAGAGTTTGGTTTTTGTTTGTCGAGAGAGGACTTTGCTTCTCAATTGCTTACTTAGTCCGAAGTAGCTGTTGGCAAGAGTTATCCTGCGTTGGATTTCTAGGCTGACATTGTTGGTGGCGTTTACGCTGGTTCCAAGATAGAGCGAAATTATCTACAACTACACCCTACAGTACACTGCTATTTATTTTCGGGTTTATACGCGTAAATCTGGGATTTATCATCTATCACGTGTTTCGAATCCCAGTTATCGTATTTTTTTAATTTACCTCGACCAATCGACACGATTCTGTTTTTGAGTGCTTGACAAATTGTGTGGAATTCAATGTGAAAACACTTTGCGCACAGCATCAATGAATAMTTTTGAGCGACCTTCAAGAAATTTGTCTTGAAGTGATGATCAACGACTAAAACTAAATTAAGTTCATCGTAGTACTGTACTCGTTGTGCTCCATAATCCATGTCGAAAGTTGTATAAAAAGCCGCGAGAAAATGTTCGCGATCTAATTCCATTTTTTGACCGATATGAATACTTTATGTTACTATAAACAAGACAAATACCGCTCGTATGTCAAAACATTTTGTTATGCATAACATGTCGAACAAATAAGGCTTAAAACTTTGTCACTCTTCACAAATACGATTCAGAATCTGGCATACCATATACTATTATAAACCTACTTTATTAGAATTTTCAATAATTATGACCCGTCAACCAGTATGGCTTGAACATTTCAAATAAATACTTGCGTGAGATTAGCTCAAGCTCAAGTTTTTGCACTGTAACTCGAATTAGAGCTCCTTATATTTTACTTATTTGTAATTAATCGTGACTAACATTCATTTCTAGACAAGAATAAATCTGCAATCCTTAAGTATACTATAAAACTAAGGGCCGTCCGAACCGAACCGCCTCTTTCTTTTGGCAAGGTTAACCAGAACTTATCTGACAGATGATGGCTAACGAAATATTGGGAATATTGATGGCTAACGAAGGTTGCAAATATCGCCACATCCTAATTATATTGAAGTAGAGGCTAACAACCATCCACCGTATAGGCTCTGTGATCAGGGATACATTTTTCTGTTTGTAATATGGGGTTTKCTCTTGCTCTTTAATGCTTCGTAACAGTTTTGAGTTTTAAATATTAAATGTGACACAAAGTAAAAATTRCGCTCTTCCAAAAAAAACTCTCTGTATTATCTAGCATAAAATTTTAATTACCCTCACACGTTTATTGAATTGTTTTCAATGAATAGAACTTTCTTGTAATTYGATGTTTATCTCCTTACTTAACTTTATWATATATATATATTAGTAAGACATTTATTATGACTGTTTCAATTTTCGTCTTTCACAACTGTCCAGGAAGAATAGTTTGGGAACGGTATTCATAAATCGCTAGGCAGTACGATACACAACGTTTTTTCCGACCTCTTGAATTTATTCGCTAAATACTTTCAAACATAAACAGATTACCGAACTTCGCACCGCGTTCACATTTGCGACACCTTMTAATTTTAAACAAAATTTTAAAACGGACAAGGGTATATTTATGTGGTTTAAGAAAAGAATTCAGTATTAGAAAAGGGCGCCAATTTATAATAGTTTTTATATCTTTCAGCCAATGATCCGAAGCCATGTAAATTCGGAGACGATGACTGTTTACTGCAGGCGATCAACTTTTATTTGCGTGAAAAAAATCAAGGTGAGTCTGTACATACACATAAGTATGTAAATATACATAATATATTATTTGTTGTTTAGGAGATACTTCGATAAATTTACGAAAAATYGATCCTATTGATGCCGGCACATTCACACTCAAGCAAGGTGCTGATAATCCCGTAAATATTGACTTAACCTTTAGCAATAATAAAATTTATGGTGTCGCCAATGCCACAGCATACAAAGTTAGGTAAGCGGGGTTTAAAAACTGAACTAATATTAAATTTGATTTATTTTATTTCGTTTTTTTTTTTCTTCTCTACGCAGAGGTTTCGGCAAGGATCTCACTAAAAAGCACGAGCTACGCTTCAAAGTRCCAGTGGCCAGCTTGATCGGCGATTATAAAATACAAGGCCGCATTCTGATATTGCCCATTAGCGGTTCCGGCAAAAACAATATCACTATGAGTAAATTAAAATTTCGACGTACGCTTAGAGYAAACATTTATAATGAAATGATTTCCTCTTTCAGTTGATGCAGAATTCATACTACAATGGGTGGGCGCGCCCGTTGAGAAGGATGGCGAAACTTATATGAAAACCGACAAATTCAGAGCCATTRTTAAGCCTAGTAGGGTGTTTTTCGAATTACAAAATCTTTTCAATGGCGACAAAGCTTTGGGTGATAATATGAATTTGTTTTTAAATGAAAACTGGAAGGAAATTTATCAGGAAGTTGATGTAACCTTTTCCAAGGAAATATCAAAGTTGATGTCAAGTATTATCGATTCAGTTTTTGATAAAACACCATATAATAAATTATTCGTAGAATAAATTTAATTTTAACAAAATCGTTATATGGTAAATTACCTTTTTATAGTCAGTGGTTTTATAAGAGTAACATCGATCTCGTGGTCAACGGAGTTTCTGGTGTAATAATAAAAAAACATATGATTTAAATTCTGTTCGAATAAATATAATTATGAAATTCCAAGAAAACTGGAAAATGTATGTTTCTTATCACGCTCATAGTTTTTCAGAAGATGAGTAACCAAATCTGCTTAGCGGTCTACTAATAGGCTTCGCACCAAGATTTTCGAACACCTGTACAGAAGGAAATGGGCGAACGTTGTTATATACTTACATACATATGTGTATCTCTTCTCTATATTGTTGTTGTTTAGTTGTGTGGATGTAAGTCTGGAATTTATTTTGATCCACGCCAACTCCCTATATAATAGTTTTGTTGAAAACGACTAAAAGTCAGTATTTATACGGGCCACTATCTTGTTGCAGCGTATATACGCACCCGCCTCTGTGCAGCAAAAAACGCACGTCAACAAACACAAGAAAAKTCCGACATCGAGAAGCACCAATCACAACAGACAGCCGAACGATTTTTAATTCGACTTGCCCTCCTGCTCTCTGAGAGTACTCATCAGCAACTCGATATAAACGAACTGTGGAACGGCATTTCAAGCTCCTTAAGTGCAGCTGCAAACGAAACCATTGGTTTTCGAAAAATGCGAAAGAACAGCTGGTACAATGAGGAGTGCCGTGTCGTAGCGTACAATCGACCACAACACGTGCGGGATGGGACATATATCAGACAAACTAAGACAGAGGCCGAAAAGCGTGAGTACAAAGAGCTTGACAAGCTGGCCGACAGGAGTAACGCTTGGAAACTCTACAGAAAGATGCAGCGACTAGCAGAAAGTTTCAAGATCGGAGCATACTCTTGTAGAAATTACAACAGGTGATCTAGTGACTGATGCCCAAAGCATACTAAAATTATTCAGGGAACACTTCTCCAGCCTGCTGAATGACCGTGAAAGCAAAACACACTTTATTTGTATAATATGACCGTCAGGATGGAGAAGGACCTCTCAAACGTATTCGACAACGAATACTGGTTTCAGACAAAGCAACTCCCTATCGTGCGCCGAATCATCAACTCAGCTAATATCTTTGTAGTGCCATCTCGAACAACTCCGCTTTACGGTCATCCAAAATAATTTTTTCATCGGTAGGAACCATTTTCGGCGTCCACTGCGCTCACTGTCTTCGGAACCCATCTCACCACGTCTAAACTTAGCATTAATGGTTGATTTTCRCTGCGGCATTATCTGGAAACTCGGCCGAGKTTTTGCTTCAACTGTATTTTTTCCTCTAAAACCAATATCTTATCAACACGCGAAACTCCTTTTTATCGATTTTTTTCACAATAACAAGAGTTGTTTCGCTCAAAATTATATAATTCGCAAACTAATGATCCGACCGCTGTCAAATTCATACACGCGCCTTTTGAAGGTTACTGCTTACAAAAAATTATAAATTTAATTCCAATATTATCAATATTCGACCCGAGAACCGCCTAGTCGTCAGTTGTAAGCTTAGGTCGCGAATGTTTGCCATTATACTTATATATATATTATACAATATGACATCTATTTTTGTATAATTTATAACATACATATATTAAAAAAAAAGTTTTCAATTGCAGTGCTTACAGGGTAAACATTATTTTGAATATTTAATAACTTTTTATTGACCTATGTATGTATGTATCTTTGCTTCATTGTTATGATCATGATCATTGCTACCGATCACACAGTATAAGATATTTAATTATACGAGTATGGACAATATCGGCCTCTTATTTGTTACTTGTCATCATGCTTTGTGATGATTGAATGTTTAAACTTGTTTGCCGTCGAAAAATAACTGTAAACGATTAATCGTAAATAAATGATCACACATGGTGCATAAGTAAATTAACAGCTGTTTGCAAGGTAACACATCGTAAAATACTTTTATGCATTCATGCATTTAGATTAACACGTTTAGATCAGAATAAACCGGCATACATATAGATATAGATGAAATTATACTCATGTACGTACATACATATATGGATGTATGCGGGAATATATACGAGTATACATATAAGCAATTATTGTCGGCGGCCGGTTGTTTGATAGCTACATGCGAGTGTTTGGCGGATTTTTTTCAAACAAGTTCCGACAGTGAAGTAACTCATCTAGTTTATGTTTTGTTAAATTTAACTAGATGAAATATCTAATGCAGTTATTTGTGTAAATATGTACATGTGTATGGATTTTATATTATTTTAAATATCGTGATGCATTGGTATCGATAGCATACAACTAGATTGAGCTACAGGTTGCAAAATTGAAGATATCAKACAATGTGTAGCTTGGAGTGATATTGAGTTAAGGTTGTGATAAGTGATTTCCAATTCGAACAAATTCTCTTTATAAACTTTATCAGCCAATCAGGTCCTTCAGTAACAGATCCAACATCAATACGCACATTTGTTGAGAAGTCAGTCAAAAATCTGGCAGATGTATAAAAAATKAAATACCTCAGAAATGAGTTGAACCAAATTGAATTTCGCCCGATTTTTCGAAAAGACAAAAAGACATTTGCCAATCAGAGATTAGCTATAAATATGTAGGTCGTCTTTTACATTTCGGGATTTGGCAACCCGAGTTTTGCAATCTAGCAACTCCCAACTTTATCGTAAAGTTTGACAATTTTAATGTTACAGATATTCCGAATGTTTTGACATACAAGCGCTATTTGCGTTGTTTACGAAACTCAAAATATTCATCTCAGCCAAAAAGTGTATTTACGTCACGAACATTTCCGTTTTAACAACTTTCAACGTGGATTAACTGAGAAACAGTGCATCGAACAATTTAATTAAATATTTAGCGACGACGTTTCATTAAAGAGTGTTATTAACTTAGATGGTATGGCGAATTCAATCGAGGTTCGTCGATTACTCGAAAACGAAATTTCAAAATCAGTTCTTTTGGAAACTATTGATGCTGTGCAAACTGCTATTGCAAGATCGTGATCTGACTTGGCATGAGATTGAGACAACTATAGGCATTTGTGGGACCAAAAGACATTCAATATTACAAGAGCATTTGACTGTAAGAAAACATTTCTTCACATTAGATTGAACACAACTTGTGAATCGCTCCAAACAAGGCCCATGCTGATTTTTTGAGAGAAATGTTAAAAAAATACAATAGCGGTACTTCAAACACGCCTATCCTATCGTGACAGGTGATGAATCGTGGATTTGCTCATATAAGCCCGAAAGTAAATAGCAGTCAATTGTATAGGTGTAATACCGAGTCCAACAATAGTTGTTCTTGAACAAAACAGTTCTACGCAAATATTTTTTCTGGTTTTTATGAAAAACTGCATATATCGCAACCATACCACTAGAACAACGCAGAATAGTAAWTTCTTAGTGATTCATAACCATTTGTTTGCAAGTTGTTTTTCAGGAAATCGGGAAACCCAACCGCCGAAGATGGATCACTCTTCTCCACCACAATGTGAGCTTATTGATTACATTCATCGACTAAAACAACTTCAATTTTAAGCACTCAAAATATCGATTTGATTGGTCATCCGCCTTGCCTTGACTTGGAATCGAATAACTTCTTTTTATTTCCGYATGGAAACAATAAACTAAGAGATCAACGTTCTTCAACACATGTTTTGGAGACCATTCAATCAGAGTGGCAAAAGTGCTTCGACWATTGATTCAAAAARATGCAAAAGTGTGTATAACTTAGTGGAGAATATTTTTTAAAAMCAATAAAGAAATTTTCGATTTTCAATATTTGTTTATGCTCTCTAAGAGGCCTACTTTAAGTAACTTCAGAAAACTCATAATTTTAATAAGTAAAAGTTCAAGAGAAATTTGATTCCGTAATGAACTTAATTTTGGCCGGTCATATTTGTGGTAGCTATCTGCTATATGATCTGATCTCAACCATTTCTTCGTAGATTGCATCATTTCCTTGGGCAATAATCCATAGCGAAATCCCAGAAGATTTCTCGTCAAAGCATTCTATACTTATTTCAAACGATCAGTTTGTATGATAGCCAAGATTGCCAAATTTCCGGAAGATATCTCGTCAAATAAAAAAAAAATTAATAGGAGGAGGTCTCAAAAACTAAGGGGCTAGTTCACGTATATACAGACAGATGGACAGACAGACAAACGGCTATGGCTAAATCAACCCTGATCGTTATGCTGATTTATTTTTGTATTTTATAGGGTCTCAAAGTTTCCTTCCGGGGTTTACAAACTTATTATATTATTCTAGGTATGGTACAACATTTTTATTTGATATTTGGTTTTTGTCACCTTAGTTGATAACCTTATAAGGCAGGGGCCAATTATTTCTTTAAATCGCTTATTTACCTTGTTAGTTTATTTATCGATTTTTCCCCTTATAGAAAGGACAAGTTTTAAACCCGCTTCATTTGTCCAACTCTGAGCCTACAGATTTTCAACTGCTATTAAAATAATTATTTTTTTTTTCGGTATCGAAACAGGTATTGAGCTATGGTATGTTTTAAGGTTKTTGATAAAATAGCAGGAAACATTTCCCAAATAATTTGGCAGAATACCGCCGCGTTGGCAATCCTTGGCAAATTTTAAATCTGAATACCTTCCGATTACATGGGCCGAACTACTTAGACGGCTTTGCTCTTATAAATACGACTAAATCTCTTCCCAATATCTTATCTTTCTTTTAACTACATCATGTTTACATATATTTAAATATTCTACTTTAACTTTTATGAGGGCAACTAATAGTCGATATTAAGTTCACCAAATTCGATGAACTAAGTCCAGGGAGCTTTAAAGCTCATAACTCCATTTAATTCAATATTCTCAGTGACTCGTCTGATTAGCACAATCAAAGATAATTATATAAAGAACTAATTCCTAATAGAGCTATCTTGGTATAAGACCTAATTTGTCAAATATTAATGTCGCCTTCCGTTATTCCAATACTTACCTACATATWTTATATTAGACTTTGTCGCGGTCGCTGGTTAATTTGTAATTTATGCATCAATTATCAGTATTAAACTAGAAATTTATTAAAATTCCCGTTCAACTTTTTTTTAACACCATACCATGTCACATTTCAAACTTA